GTGGGTTGGGGGAGGGGCGAGGTGAGGAGCCGGGCTCCGGGGTCCCCCACGCACGGCCACCCCTCCCAGCCACCATCTGGCGCGAGCGGGTTGGCGTGGGGAACCGAGGTGGGGCGGGGGCCGGCAGATGGGCCCAGACTGCGCTCGTGAGTTTATGTAGGTTATGGGCAGGCGGAGTCCCCAGGCCCGAGGGAGGGGGAACTTGGGGCTTCCCTCCCAGCGATCCTGGCAAGTGGGCTCCCAAATCCTCTCTCTGCCCGTACTGCCTACTTCTACAGATCCCTAGACCGCTCTAGGATGCCAAAGGGTGCCCCTTACTCTCCTCCAAACTGGCCTCCAGGCCTACCTAGCTCTCTCTGCTCCGACTGCCAAATCCTGGCCCGAAAGTTCTTAAAAACTCGCTCCTTTTCCTGCGCCGGTACTTGCCTGACCCTCAAGGGGAGACATGCAGTCCCACACGAGGCATTTCGCTCAGTACTGGCAGATCTGGAACCCTCTCTACTCACATACACTGCGACTGATGTTCCCAACAGCACTTTGCGAGTGGCAGAGGACCAAACAAAAGCAGGTATCATTATTATACTCAGAAGCGAAATGCAAGGGATCCCAAAGAACTAGAACGCCTCTGACCTGGGAAGGAAAGGGTTAAATTCCCCCAGCATCTTCATAAGGCCTCTAGTAGCGGAGGATGCTATCCCAGAAACTATCCCCTAGCATGCTGCCCCTGCCCTTGCCCTTGCCCCTGGGTACCCACTAGTGCTCCCATCTGCTGGGGTCGGGCTTTGCCCACACTTGGCTGAGCAGGGGAGGGTCACGCTGCGGCCAGGGAACCAGGGACCAAAGACCCCAGTAATTTCTCACCGCCTCACAGCTGGGGCTCCACCCTTCTCCCATTCCAATTCCTGAAGTGGGGAGTTAAGAGCCCCACACAGGCCCTGGGGGTTCCACAGGAGCAGGAGGCTGTGAGGCAAGTTGGACCCGCGGGGGCTGGACCCCAGTAGACTGCCACTGCCCTCAATACAGACTCTCACTGCTGCCCTAGAGAACAAAACGTGCGTAGGCAGGGCTCCTGCGGACTGTAGGCTCCCAACGAGGCCGCGGTTCCTCTCCTGGACGAGCACTCGCATTTCTGCCGGGTGTCCGGAGAGTCAGGGTAGAGGGCGAGGCCCACGGCTTCCAGACCCTGAGGGCATCTGCTTCTTTTGCCCTGAGTGGCCGCTGCGCCCAGTCCCCCAACAGGTAGAGCCTGCAATTGGGGCCCCGGGAGCGCCAAGGTTACCTTCCAGCCTTGCCACTAAGCTGGCCCCAAGTTATTGGGATGCAAGAGGAACCCCGTAGAAGTTTACACGCCCTTCCCAGGGCCGCGGGCCCAGCTCCGCAGCCCCTCGCTAGGTTGTGCTCTCCCCAGCCCCCACCCCTGGGCAGCGCTGCCAGTCTGATGAACTGCTATTTGGAGACCTCTCATTCGGAAACCCACGTAGGGGTCGCTATGAGTCCAATCGACTCCACGGCAGCAGGTTTTTTTTTTTTTTTTTTTTTTTCTATTCCCGCAGCACGGTAGGAGCGCGGCGGGGCCGGGCCACAGTGAACCTCTAGGGGTGGAGTAGCAGGCCTGATTTGGGCGGGGCGCTTAAGCCTTAAGGGGCGCTGCTGCGGTCGCTGCGGAGAAGGGGCCACGTGCAGGGAGCGGCCGCCCCGGAGCTGCACAGAAGGCAGAGAGATTTGCAAACTGTTGCTGCCACATGGCTGCTCCATTCGATCCATTCACATTGAAATGAGGCCGGCGCGTGCCTCATCTGCCGCACGGCGCTGCCACGCGTCAGCCCGGCCCGCCGCGTGCCAACTGGGGCAGTGGGGCTGGCAGCCTGCCTTGGGGGCCCAGCCCAGACCCTGCGGGCAGGGACGGAGTGGGGGCGAGGGGAGCCAAACTACCCACGCTTCTCAGGTGCCGCGGGTTCCTGGACCTTGGCCCTGCAATCCGGAACGAGCTGGCGAGAAAGGGCCCGGACGGACGGGTTTTGGAGGGGGGCCGGGATCGATGCCGCCACTCCCCGCAGATGCGCCCCGGCAGCACTACTCTCTATCTGCCGCTGCTCGCACCTGCCGGTCAATAAATCGATTTTTACAATTTAATGCAGCAGCTTCCCGCCCGACTAGGACAGATGCCGCCGCAGAACCACCTCCACCCTAGCCCCTCCCTTCGAGGGGCGCCAGTGGTTAAGGCCGGGATTCCCGCTCAGCCGGCAGCGCCCCTCGGGGCCTAGTTCACCTCTCTCTGGAGCCCCTACAAGGAACTGCTAGCTCTGGTTTTTCCCCCGGGGCCAAGTGGGTTCTCCATCGGACAGACCTGAGACTGGTAGAGAGAGGAAGATGATGACTTACTTGGTAATGGCCTTGAGGACTCACTTGGGGACTTCAAGGGAGGAACAGGATGCAGTGGCTGATGATAAGATGTGAGGGCCCCTGTGAAAAGGAGGAAGGAATGGGCTATGGGCACTAAGGGCATTGAGTTCTGAAGAATTCCCATGGCTGGGGACTAAGCAGAGATGGGGAGAATTGGGGTGGGATGGAGCCCCTGGACCCTCAGGCTATGTGTGTAACCAAGCATGACATTTCCCAGACATGTGATCTTGGATTTGTAACTTCAACTCTACACCTCAGTTTTCTCATCAGTGTAATGGAGATAATGAGAGCCACTTGGAAAGGTGACTGAGGAGCCTGCATTGGGTTAGACATTTGCAACATTAATTTTCTTTACCCCTGGTGACATCAAGGAGCAGATTTAAGGTAGAGGGGAGATCCCTGACAGCAACTATTTTCCAGGAGGAAAGGAAGGAAAAAGAGCCAAAGGCAAACAATCATAAGGAATGAGGCATGAGGAGCAGAGGTGGGGGGAAAAAAAAAAAAAAGAAGAAGAAGGCTAGGTGGGGTATGGAAGGAGATAGACCCTATGGGAAAACTCAGCTGTGAGAGCCTTCTCTGGGGAGAGGACACAACAAGGTCCTTGACTATAGGGAGAAGACTGGAGCTTCGAGAATGGATTTGAAGAAGAGGTGAAGGTTTGGAGAAACCAGTTGCACATGGTCTTGACCTTCTAGAGTTCACCCTCCAGTCAAAGTCACATATAGGTTACAAATGCACCACACCTCTTTATGGTAATATTTTAAAGCAGAAGCTTATGGGAGGAAGGAGGAGGTAATTTCTGAACTACTCTGGTCATTGATGTTCCTGGTGGCCCAGAAGGCTTAGTCCTCTCCATGTCACCAAAAAGGCACACTAGGTTTTGGAGAGGGGCCAGGACTGTCCACTGGCAAATGGTTCATAACTGATGACCCAAGGACTTCTCCCAGGGAAAAGATGTCTGAGTGGACAAGACTACTGGGCATGAGTCAGAGTGCCTGCTGTGGTTCTTCAAGAGATTAGGAGGGCCTCCCACCTCTCCTCTCCCAGGTTTACAGGACACTGAGGGGGTAGGCTAGCCCCACAGTCTGTCTTCTTTGCCT